TCTTTCTTTCTTTCTTTCTTTCTTTCTTTCTTTCTTTCTTTCTTTCTTTCTTTCTTTCTTTCTTTCTTTCTTTCTTTCTTTCTTTCTTTCTTTTGGTAAACTAGGAAATAATTATTTTAAAATAAAAGAAACAAAACTAAGGTGATTTATTTAAAAGAACTACCATTTTAAAACAAATAGCTTACAAATTATGGGTAATATTAGATTTAACTTTGTCTCCTCCCCCCCACCCCTTACTTGTGTGTCAGGGGAGGAACAATTCCTTCAAGGCATGGATGCAAATATGAAAATATTAAAAAAAAAGATACCCAACTAAATAAAGCTTATTTTAAAGTATGCTTTGCTATATGTTTGAGTGACCATGGTTTGCTCAAATTTTCGAGCCAAGAATGATTCATCAGCGAAGAGGATGAAGGAAACTGTCTTTAGTATTTTGAGGGTGCCAAGGAGGTGGGGGGTCCTGAGGGCCTGGCCATCCCGTGGATGCCATTGCTCGCTCTTTGGGTAGGAACGTGGCATTATCTGCAAAAGGGCCTTTGGGGAGATTTGGGGGACCATCACCCAGGTCCCCACATCCAGGGGGTGCAAAATGCTCGGATGGGGTGGAAGCCTGCCATTCAAGGCCACCGAGAGAAGAGGTAAAGTTCACAGTGTTCGGGGTGTCCCCTGCACGTTCCCACTGAGTGGACAAATGTCTTCACGGGACAAAAAAAGAGAGAGAGAAATGTATTTTGAAATGAACCTGGTGGAAAGGCAGCAACTTAGAAAGGCAGAGTAAAGTTGACGCAAGACTAGAAATTAAAATCTAGTTTAGTTAAACGCGTAACAAGGACTTGGAGAACGGGGCTGGGGAGAACTTTGAAGAGCCCGGGAGCCCCAGGGAAGACTCTGCCCCACGGGCCCGGCTTCTGGCAGTGGGCTGGGCAGGTGTCTTCCTGAGGCCCCCTCCTGCTGATTCAAGGGCCCGGGCATCTGGGGGGCTTTTGCCAAAGGGGCCCGGAGGCATTTTCCTCCGCGTCCTTGCCCTGCCAACCAGTTCTGCAGCTTTTCCTCCCTGTTCTGGTTCTGTTCAGGCTTTCCTTAAGGGCGCCCTGCAGCGAAGGGGGCTGTTGGGCCAGGGGCCACGTTAATGCCATGCCCACATTTCGCCTCTGAGCGGAGGGCAGGTGAGACGTTCCTCTCGATGTCTCCCCTGGGTTCTCGTGGCAGCAGAAATGGGGGGGGGGGCTGCCGCCCGCTGGAGTCCAGATCCAACAAGGAAAAGAGAGCGAGGCGTTGGCACATCTGCCTTGTCTGTCGGGTTCCCTACTAAGTCAGGCCTGTTGGGAGAAAAGAACCGAAATTCCTCCTCCCTCCCTCACAAAGATGTTTCTGAAGCAGAGTCTCTTCCATCCAACTGAATACAAACCAGTAAAAAAGAAAAGCCGGGATGTTTTTCTGTGCGGCCTTGTGGCAACCGCTCTGGGCTGAGTACAGACCGAACGATGCTTCTCGCGGGCAAGCAAGAGGCGTCCCGGCCCCATCGGATGCCTGGCTACAAACTCCAGGATGGCCGTGGAGGCAGACTCGACATTGGGAAGGGGACCGCAAGCAAGCCCACGTCAATTCTGGCTCTTATGCCGCTGCTCCTTCGCAGAAGGGCTGTGCTGGAGGACTCTCCCACCTAACCCCGTATTGCTGGCATTGGCCGGCAGCAGCTCTCCAGTTACAGGCTGCGGTCTCCGGCCCACCTGGAAGCACCAGGGATTCGGGAGGGGGACCTTTTGCGTGCTGACTATCGGAACTGAACCTGGGCCAACCCTTTCTTGGTGGCGCGGCGGGCAGGGCCCCTGCCACTCAGCTGCAGCAAGCGAGCCCGTCGCTCTGGCCGTCCCCGGTTTGCCCGCAGAGCACGGCTGGAGGGGAAGCCGAGTCCCTGGCTGTTTCCCGGCACGCTTGGCCAGGTGAGTCAAAGAGCAACAGAAGCCTTCCCACAACACGTTTTCCCTCTGAGGAGGGTTAGCTTAGCCCGATGTGGGAACCTGCCCCCGAGAGTCATTTGAGGCAGGGACCCTGCCTTGCAAAGCCGGTTGTCATCCTGCTGCAGAAGGTGAACCCCGTCCGGCTGGCGGAAGAGCTGTGTCCAGGGTGACGTGGTCAGAGAGCGAGAGGGAAGCTCCTTCTGCCGCAGCAGGCCCCCAGCTCGTCTCTTGCACTGCAAGTGGCGCTTTGGCCCCCGTCTTCCCAGCAGGCCCGCCTGCTTGCCCCGCCCGTTAGAAGGCGAAGGTGGGGCATGTCCTCTGAAGATGAGGAAGCCCCAGCTGGTAGTGCCCCGCTAGGTCTGGCATGGGAAACCTCCTCCCCACACCCGCCTTGTCCTCGTGTGTTCTTCTGCCTCCTGGTTTCCTGGGGGTTTTCTTCCCCTGCAGAAGGCTTCTGTTTTTCCACCTCATTCTTAGGGGCTTGAGAATTTCTTTGGGCAGCCTTCCACAGGGTCACGGGCTGTGGGAGCTGGGAGGGGCTCTGCAGCCCCCCGGTTGCAGCAGGGTTGACCCGGTCCGTGAAGAGCCCAGGAGAGGCTTCTCCCAACAGCTATGCCTGCAATTAACTTGGGGAGGTAGTTTGGGGAACCCAGAAAGAGGCCACTTCGCACAATGCAGCCAGCCATTTACGTGCAGCGTAAGCCGTGGCGGACGGCAGAGTGGGGTGGGCGAAGGCAGCGGATGGTTTGGAACTTGGTTTACGGCTAGATGAGAGAAACTCCCAGCTTCAGGACAGTCATCTCCTGCTTCTCGTGTTTCCGGTGGACCCTTCTGGCCCCAGCGAGATGCCAGAAGTGGGGCTGCAAACACCGGCCCCCAGCCCCAACTGAGTTCTGTCTCAATAGAGGTGAATATGCGTAGCTCCTATAATCAGTCACTCTTGAGCCTCCATCAGTTTTGCTCTTGCCTTTTTTCCCCCCTTCCTCTTTTCCCATCACATTTTCAGAGGGTTTTTTTTCAAGGAAAAAGGTAAATGATTTATGAACTTCAGCAGCCACTCGTGGGGCGACATCTAGTGGCTTGCGCAAGTATTGCACCAAAGTGTGTTTAAATTTCAAATTTAATCACCGCCCATCTCACTCAAGAGCGACTCCGGGCGGTTTACAGTAAAACAAGAATAAATATTAACTAAAATACAATAAAAATACATTAAAAACCATGTTTATAGATAAATGATGTCTTTTTTTCTGCATTTTTTTCTGTGGTGAAAAAAGAGTTGGGGGACTTTGGGCTAGTCTCTCCCTCCCAGCCCAACCCACCTCGCAGGGTTGTTGTCATGGGGAAAATAGGAGGTGGGAGCATTATGCACTCTGCCTTGAGTTGTGTGTGTGTGTGTGTACATATTACATCTGTATAGCTACTTGTCTCAGACAAAGCAACTCTGGGTGGTGTACAACAGTTTTTGGGTGGTGTATACAACTGCTGTATAAAATAAAGGTGGGAAATGATGAGGATGATGACGATGACGATGTCCATTCCTGGCTGTTGTCATTCAGTCCAGTGGAAAGTAACATCTGGATTGCTCTGCAGGCAGAAGAGAATTTCTTTGGGCGCAGAGGAGTGTCCCTGCAAGGCGACCCACGGGCATGTCTGAATGCCCTGTCTCTCCTGGTACCATCCTCTCCCCGGCTCCCTCCCTTCCAAGAAGCTAGAAAGAAACGTCAAAAGCAGCTTAAGTTTTTTAATAGAAACCTCTTTTGCAAGGGAAGAAAACTTTTGGGAAATGGTGAAGCAGATCTGGCCCAGTTTTAGCAAAAGCTTGGGCAGGGGGCTATCGCCCCATCATCTGGAGGGCACCGAATGGGCACTGGGGCCTTTCCCTCAGGCAGGCCCCGATTTGGGCAACAACCGCAGGGTGACCCGCGAACTGTTTACCAGAAGCGAGAGATGATGGTCGGAGGATTTGGTATACTCCATCGGCAAGTGTAGCCGGGCAGCTGGCGCTCGGCAGATGGTTTGGGTGGGAAATGCAATGCTTGTGTTTACACACACAGACCGGCTTCCACCACATGCTAGCCTATAGTTAATGGAACCATGGTTTACTGAAATTACTGCAAGCGCAGAACCAGGAACTAGCTGCGTTGGGCCGGGATCCCCCCCCACAGATACACACACACAACCAGCCGCCAACTCACCAGCCAGCTGCGTGCCTAGCAGGTGATGCCAACTCAGGCAGCACGCCGCCCGAGAGACGGGCGTCTTGATCCCTGCAGAGGAGATCTCTGGGTGCTTTGGAGGAGATCTCCCCTGGGCGCAGGGGAGAAATGGGTGCTTTGAGACTGGACGCCCCTTTCTGCCAGCTGTCTCGTTACTGGACTGGAGAGAGACAAACGAAACACTCTGCACCGGGAGGATGGCACCAGAAGGCCGCCAAGACCAGTGCCATCTCTGAGCACAGGACACGAATAACCGTCTTCAGTCACAGGAAGGCAGATTCCACCCGGATGTTCAGAAAAGTTCCTAAAAGTACAGCAAAGGCAAATTTGAGACGAAGCAGAGAGAGGCTGGACGCCCCTTCGCTGGGCGAATATTTTTCTTTTCTGTAAACCGCCCAGAGTTGTTTTTTAACGAGATGGGCGGTGACAAATTTGATATATAAATAAAAAAATAAAATAAAGTGGGTTCAAGCAAGGCTGGATGCCATTGGATAGGAAAGATCCGATTTGGATTCCCGCATGGAGCCGAGGGCCAGTCGAGAGGAACTCTCTCTACTTTAAAATCTGCAAACTCTCCTGGATTCGAGATTGCTTCCAGAATTTGTTTAGCTCCCGCCGAGCAGCCGGAGCTTCATTTCACTGCTGTGGATCAGGTTTGCTCCAATCCCTGGGAAAAAACGAAAAACAAAACCAAAGGGATATTCTAATTCTTCTGGCAGGGACTTGCTTTGGCAAAAAAAGGTTGAAAGTGAGAAGCAGGTTGAAATTTGAAGAAGCCCCCCCCCTTTTTTTTTAATGGTTCATCCTAGTCCTTAATAAGAACATCTTGAATAGACAGAGGAGGATTTGTTCCTGCGCGGCTCTGGAGTCAGCAGGAAGGCATCTGGAACAAATCACCGGCTCGGCCTGTGCATCTTCCCTGCGCCAGCGCATGGCTCCTGTGCACAGCCCCGCCTGCTCCCTCACCCCGTGGGGCCCTCTGTACATGCTGCGGCGTGGCACACGCCTTCTTGTGGCCTGAGGGGATGGGCCACGGAGCCCAGGGCAAGAGGAGAAAAGGAGACCTGTGCATCCGCTCTGACTCCTCCTCCCCTGTAGAACGGGACGGTGTTCAGGGTGTTCAGATCAAGGGGGGGAATGGGCCAGACCCTTGCCCTAGCCACCCGTGGGGCGAGGTGAATGTGCCTTCCTCTCTGCTTCCAGGTTCTGCCTTGGAGTTGGGCAAGATCTGTCTTCTGCTGCTGTCAAAGAAGTCTTTTCCCTTCCGGTCTTACTTTCTGGCAGCTTCAGAGTTCTGTGGCTGGAAGACATAAGGTGATTTATAGCGTCAAGAGGGCAGGGAGCACAATTGTTTCTTCCAGGACATTCCTGAGTGGAGAAGGGCACAGAGGAATCGGCTGCTCTTGACCTGACACTAAACACTTGTGTAGCGTTGGAGATCTTGGCTTTAAGGTGGGTGTCTCAGGGGCCAAAGACGAGAGCAGGTTCTTAAAAAAAGGAGCTGTTAAAGGATAACTGCGAACAGGGTCCAGACTGGAAAAAGACGGAAGAAAGCAGAGGAGGCCAGCGTGGCTGAATAAGAGCGTAAGGAGATCTCTGATACAAAAGGATGCATAGAAGAGGAGGAAGAAGGAAAGGGGCACGGTGAAAAGTCAAGACTTTGAGTCAGGAAAGCAAATGCTCCCAGTGAGCTGGGGCTGGTGAAGATACGCTCAAAAGAAAAGGAAATGAACGTTATCAGCCACTCGCTGGTCACAGCAGAATATAATGAGGAAACAGAAAAGAGCAGAGCTTCCTTGTTTGGTTTTGAGGAGAGTGTGTGTGTGTGTGTGTGTGTGTTTCAGTTCAGTTGTGAGAAGCCCAACTGAGTGTCAAAAGAATCCTGAGGCGTCAAGCAGCTCACCTGTGCAACCAGCGGGGCTGCCCGTGGCTGGAGGCGCTCAGGGTCTCTGGGTTGGCACAGATGCTCACACCACTTTCCCCCACGTCCAGGTAGGCAGAACTCAGAACTCCCCGGCCAGGATAGCCATTGACCGTGAGGTTTAGGAAACTCTGGCTGAATATCAACCATCTGTGCACAGAGACTTTTGTGGGAGAGGACATTTGCTCATGAACCCTCCACCAGCTCCATAAAGCATGTTTTAGAGGAGATAGATCTTTCAGGTGTATGCACCAAGGAAATTTAGCGTTGCCCTTTCTTATAGGGTCAGAGTGATTTGGCTCACACATGGCACAAGCAATCATGCAGTTTGGCTTTCTGGGTTGTGCAAACCTAGCCCTCACTTGTAGTGAGTAAATCATAGTTTCGATCTACCTCTCCACCATAAATCCAGCACACTGGTTTATTACAGTTAAAACAAGCTACGGCTCAGCGTAATGTGGGACTGACTTCTGATACAGGAGTATTAGGGGTGCTCAGAAAATGGGGGGGACTTTGTTTTGAGGTCAGAATGAAACTGACCTACTCAGAATGCCCAGTCAGAGCATGCCAAGTTGACCGTGTTCCAATGAGCAAAAAGGGAAACAAGTTGGCTGGGTGGTAGTCCAGGCTGCCACTGACCACCCAACCTACCAAAAGATTGCCAAAGGGGATGATTTTTCTATTCAAAAATAAAGGAAGAAATTTAAAGCATGGTTTTACAGCAAAACAACTAAACTGATCCCCGCATAACCAATAATCAACTGGATTTACTGTAAGACAACAACAGCACACGCACACACCCTTTACAGCTCTAGGCTTGAAAAGGCTTTGTTCTAAGGGACCTGGGCAGAGGGCACACTTTGCATTGTGAATCAGGCCTGTCTGCAGCAGCTCTCGAGAGCAGCCCACGTACAGCTTGGCAACGCTTGGCATTTTGCAAACTCTTTCCAGCGGGCAACTCTAATTAGTCCTTCAGCATTTGTCAGTGTTAACTTTCCAAAGCGCCACACGCAGCAGCACGCTGGCCAGCGTGACTCGGAAAGCAGCAGGCCAATCCCGCGGCCGCAAGCAGCGTCCTGAGTGACGTTGGAACCGCGTCGGGCATAAAGGCTCAAAACGGGCACGGCTTGCGCCTTCCGTGCCTCTGTTATGTTAGACGCCATCACCTGGTTTTCAAACTTGCTCTCTCAAGAAGAAGAAGAGGCAGCAGACTTTGGCCAAGGGGAGGGCTGGGGGCACTGGAGGCAGCCGCGGAGGCGGCTGAGGGATGACAGACAGACAGACAGACAGACAGACTCCCCCCTCCTGGGAATGAGGCTCCTTTTCCGGGCAAGCAAACTCTGGAGAAAGTGCAGCCCGGATTTCGGGGCCACGGGGGCCCTCCAGCTGCTCTGGGTCGGAGGAGCCCCCCCTTTTGCCCCCCAGCTCTGGGTCTGATGAGAACGGTGAGCCCCCGGCCCATTTAAAACGGGATCTACCCTGCCTGAGAAGAGGGGGATCTAAGCAAGCTCGGGGGCCAACAG